GGAAACTGATCACCCCTAATTTAACGGCATTTATTACGTTAATCCAGATATGGTTACTGCAACGAGCTTATATTGTGCTTTTATTTTTCACGTACAGAAAGTACATCAATCTTTCTCTAGTTTTCTTTTTAGGAATTTTTTCACCGGCAAAAGGATGGCAAAACTTTGTGCTCATCTGAAAATTAATGGAAAATTTCAAATAAAGACACGAAGTTAGGCTATTTTCTCAGAAAATGATTTAGAGTAGACGTTGTCTAAAATAAAGGCACGAAGTGATCAAGGTAATCTCAAACAATGGCCGAAACTCACTGGCCGACTTTTTCCGACCACTATATCAGGGGCAATTTTGTCCGACAAATCAATTGGGTAAAAAAATTGGATAAAATCTCCCAAATTGATTTGGGACTGCGATTTTCCTTCAATTTTTCACATTTTTTTTCCTCCTCTCCCAGCTGCCCAAGCAAAACGCTTCCGCCCGATCCTGCTCCTCGCCAGCTTCAATCCGTCGTCCGCCGTCGTCTCTTCTTTCCCAGGTTCCGTCGTCCGCGAACTTCAACTCCGTCGTTGTTTTTCGGTTTCATTTTCGATTTGCCGATCGCTAGAATTGCATGTGTGCTCATCGCGCCTCTTCGGTTTCGACTCTCTGTCCGGATCTTCGCTGCTCGATCGAGTCGCCGCCGATTCTGTTCCGTCTTCTTCTCTTTTCCACGGGTTTTTATCGAGCATTTCGGGTTGTTAGAAACGTTTCTTTTTTCGTGGAGTCGTGCGTATTTGGTTCGCCGCTGGCTTTTCGCTGGGGTTTTCTTGTGGCTTCTGCGACTGATGGAGGCTTTGGAGTCGGCTCTTACCGTTTGTGATAGCGAGCTTATCACGGTGCTTGATCACTCCGTGTCCTTGAAGAAATGCAGTGTTGTTTGATCTCTAGGAAGAAAAGTTTGTGTCGTAGTTGCAGTCTCTGATTCGGAGCTGACCGTTCGGTTACAGTCATCTCGACTGTGAAGGTTGCTGTAGAATTAAATTGAGTTGTTTCTTGGGATTTTGAATTTTGAATGTTTGGTTTATTCACGGGGCTCGATTTTATAGAGGTGCTCAGCTGGTGTGTGTTGCTAGTGAGCTTTGTAGGAGCCGGACATTGCTATTGGTAAAGCCACGAATCATGTTGAGCGTGATCATCATGTTTAGCGCGAGCCGGACATTGCTATTTGTGGGTAATCCTGTCGAGCGCGATTACCCACATGGTACACCCTCGAGGTAAATCTCATGTGCTTATTTTTTGTTTATTCGAAGTTGTTTCGCTCTATTTCGAAACTAACAAACACCTTTCTTTTTTCCGACCAGATGTGGGGAGACATTCTACAGAATGCGAAAAAGGGCGGTCTCAATGTGATTCAAACTTATGTCTTGTGGAACATTCATGAATCGCAGGCTCGGGTAACACTTCAGCTTCGCTGCTTTTCCTATTTCATGAGCTATTTTTAGGATTTAAGATGTTTCACAATTTGGGCTAAAACTGCACCACAATTTCAATGGGAACTGTGATTTGGTCAAATTCATCAAAATGATCGGTGAGTTAGGAATGTATGCAACGCTAAGGGTCGGTCCATTTATAGAAGCTGGATGGAATATGGTTTGATTTCGCAACACGTTTTCCTCTCAAGACTTTTAGCTATCATATCTTACGATCGTGACATGTGCAGAGGCTTCCTGTATTGGAGAGGTACTGAACATCACGTTTCGGACCGACAATTCACCATTCAAGGTAAATTATACTCTTCACAATTCTCTTAGAGGGAGTGGACATGCCGAATTTGGTTCAGAGTTTCTTCCGACTCGCAGTACCCCACGAAGATGTCCACCAAAGTGATCATAAAAAAGATGAAGGTATCCATCTTATCCTTGACTTTGTCCTAAAACTGTTCTTATTTGCGCTTTGTCTTGACTAATTGAATTATTCTATCCAACTGTAGGTAAAGAGGAGGATGTAAGGACCATGACATGAAAGTGGTAGAAGAGAATTTTTGAGATATGCAAGGGTAGCAGAGCAACAACACTAACTGTTTTTTTTTTTTTGGTTCTACTAGTTGATATAGATGGATTTGTATAGGTCTATATAGGGAGCATTTTGAAGTTATAGTGTGTATAAGTTTGCCGTGTTGGGAAGATTGCTCATGTTGGGATGTTTTTCTTTTACATCAAACAATGTGAATCACTATAAGTTAATGTAATGCTATTTAGTCTGCTTTGCCTTCTATTGAGTTGTGCCTTTTCCATCATTAATCATCACCACAGTAGCACAGCACTGTTTGCACAGCATGGCTAAGTGCTGTACGCACAGCCTGTGTGCGCAGTGAGTGCTGTATTGTGCACTCAGCACGGAAGGTGTTGTGCATTGCTTTTCAACAATTTTAGCAGCAAGCATGTGGCCAACAACAACATATGAAACATCCATTGATCACAGCAAGCATTTGGCCAGGCAACCATCATCAACAACTCGTCATTCAACCATCATCAACTTAACCATTATCATCAGCTCAACAGCAAGCACATGGTCAACCAACCATCATTAACCATCATCGTCCGCTCATCAATAAACACTTAATTCATTAAACTCAAATATTTGCATTACAAAAGGAACATTAAACTTAATTATTTGCATTACAAAAAAAAAACGCAACAGATGAGTTTACAAAACAATTAAACTTTCCACTAATCACAGCCCATTCTACAACAACCAATCTAAAGCTCCAAAAATACACCTACAACAATCAATCACAATCCCAAAATGTAGTACATTATCATCCATGAAATTACCAGCCCACCCAATAAAATCTTCTCTCTCTTTCTGCTTTGTTGAAAGTCGGCTTCAATTAATCTTGTTCTTTGCAAGAGCCCAGCGATAACTCCGTGGGTGTTCTTATCACCAATAATCGCACGCCAACCACACAACACAAACTTCTTCTAACCTGCAAGATTGACCATCACTCAAGTTTCTTGTCATACGTCGTATTGTGTTCAAGTCGTGCTTGAAAGCATAGTCGAATCGACTCATCATAGGAAAATGTCAAACAGAAAAAAAAAAACAAAAGAAGAAGAAGAAGATGGGTAATAAGACTTCCAAGAAGGCTGTTGCTGCTGATCTAGAGCTAGGAAAAAATCACATAGATTTTCTCTGCCTTGGTAATAAATGAAATGGCGATATAGAGCCTGTGACCACCTTTTGATTTGACAAGGACTCTTAACTTCAAATTGCACCTGACCCTGATAATTAATTCTCAAGGAGAATCCAAGATATAGATTGATACACGAATATAAAAGCTTGGACCAAATATCTTCAGAAGTAAAATTAAAGATCTTGAATTTTTATGTGATGCAGCAGTGAACAAGAGGGCCGGTTGGGTGTGTGATCTACACATCAATTTGCTAACAAAATCAGAACCCAAAGACATTCTCCACTTTTTCTGAATTTGCACAAGAATGGCACCTTCCTGAGGAAAGTGATCAATGTTGTCCTCTCTTTCTGGTGGCAGTCAAATCTATTCTTGTGTGCTAAGACTTAAGCTATCACTGATTAGCATTTTCATGTTAGTTTTATGAAATAGAACGAAACAAATTCGAATAAACAGAAAATAAGCACATGGAGATTTACCTCGAGGGTACTATGTGGGTAATCCTGCTCAATAGCAACAATAGCGATGTCTATGTCCTACAAAGCTCAATAGCAACACATCAGCTGAGCAACTTAATAAAATCGATCCCTATGAATAAAGCAAAGATTCCAAATTCAAAATCGAGCAGCAAAGATCCGGACACAGAGTCGAAACCGAAGAGGTGCGATGAGCATACATGCAATTCTAACGTCAGCAAGAGAGAGAACGGTTCTCTAGGAACAAGAACCAATGCCCCCCTCAATCACAACGGGGACACGGGAATGCACCTTGCAGCCAAGGCGTTACTTTACTACACCTTCGAAACGGGGATGTCTCGTTCATGTCATCTAATGAAATTTTAATGAGCGGTTTCGGATTGAAATACGATGTCACGCCATGCCGGAGCGGCTTTGTAATCTAAGCATTGAGTGTTTGGACTTCTTGAAGTACCCATTTAATTTCACTAAGGCTTCGTTTGTTTTGCGGAAAATGAATAATTTGAAAAATATTTTCCAAAAATTAATCGCTCGTATCGCTTACACAAATTAATGAACAAAAAAAATTTGCATCGTCCACGAAAATATTTAGACATAAATTATTGTCGATATCGAGATTATTTTTCATTGACTAATTATTTCAAGTGATATAAGCAATTATTTTTAGGAAAATATTTTCTAAATCATTCATTTTCCGCGAAATAAACAGAGCCTAAATCATGATTCTTCCTTTCTTTCTTTCACAGTAGTCATTGCCGAACCTAAAAATTGAACTTCAAGAACTCAACTGACCAAAATAAAAAAGGTTCAAAGACTCGATTAAACATTTTACAAAAGTCCAGGATCTATTCGTGCCTTCATCCCTCTTTTTATACCGTAGACTTTCTATCCTGATACAATATTTAATTATAAAGTCGCATTTTGCTTGTTAGATAATTTGGGTTTAACCTCTTTTAGCTTCCACGCCCAGTTTGTTATGACCATGCTATGTCAGTTTTGAAAATCCTCTGCTATAGTTCAATATTCTCTTACCTTTGAATTGATATACTGTACTGATGTTTTTGGTGTAGCTCTCTTTTGTTACGATTTTCCTCTAATTTTATCACCTGGTGGAGGCAAGGTTTTGTCTACTCATTTAATACTCTGCTATGGTGAAGCTTGATTCAATTCTTCTTTAAAAAAAATTTCGTGGCGTTTCTTTATCGTTAATCACAATTAAGTTAGCCTAAGAAAAGAGAAGAACAATCGCCATGTGTTAGATGGAGAGAGTGTCGATGTCTAACTATTCATAAAGCAGTGCGAGTACGCACCGCCACGCATTCATCTAATTAAACATGGATAAGATTAGACAATGAAATAAAGAAATGGGGTGAAAATTGGGTGATTTGCATCTTTTGGAGTGAACAGGAAGAACTTACAGAAAAGAGTTGGCTGACTGTTCAGAAGGAGACATGGGAAGGGAAAAGAAAAAAAAATGAAGAAAATAAGGCAAAGTAGGAACGAAATGGGAAAGAGTGCCACGTGTCACATATACATACCTGGCCTCCTTGAAGATAGGCCCAAGTTGGATTCCCGGCACCATCTGCAACGTTCGTCAAAGTCACCATACTCGCCTAACAGTGGGCATGCATGAACATCTCAAAGGCATGTGTTTGGAACAGCAGGCACACCTTGCAGCGCTTTACAGTGATTGATATTCAATACCCGTAACTCATGTAGTTTTGATAATTCGGGTAACCTTTCTATGGAGCTCCATTTCTCAATTAATAATTGCTGCAGTGAGTTTGGTAAATCAGGCAAACCTTGCAGTGATTCAACTTGACGTATGGTCAAGTAATATAACTCATGCAGTTTTGATAAATCAGGTAACCTTTCTATAGAGCTCAAATTCTCAATTTCTAAATACATCATCAAGGTTGGCAAATTAGGCAAACCTTGCAGCGATTCACATTCATGTACGTACATGCGCTTCAATTTATGTAGTTTTGATAGATCAGGTAACCTTTCTATGGAGCTGCAATATCTAATGTCGAATTCCACCAGCGATTCTATTTCTCGCAAATCTCGAATCTCGATTAGCTGTGAGCAGTGAAAAATACTCAGCTTTTTGAGCTTCCTTAAGCTTGATAGACCTGATAGCCTCACTAGCAAATTACATCCAACCACCTCTAAATAATGGAGGTTCTCTAACTGTTTCAACTCGATCTCTCTCAATCCCAAATTGGAGAGTTTTAACTCAGACAAACATCTCAAATCGGAGAGGAGGGGATGTTCTATCGGAGACTTGACACCATTTAATTCCAAAGAACGAAGACCTAAAGGAAGCCTTGGGAGAGATTGAAGATCATCACAATATATGTGTACTCGCGAAAGCTTAGGAGGCAATGTGATATCTATATTTCTAGAATCATAACCATGGTATACCAACCGGTTAAGATTCTCCAAAGTCCATATGGCCTGAGGTAGCTCTCTTATCTTTGTATCACGCGTATCTAAGCCCTCCAGCCTTTTAAGATATCCAATAGAAGCAGGCAGTTCTGTAATATTTGCACACCACAAGTCTAAGTAGAGCAATGATTCTAGTCCTCCAATGGAGTTTGGTAGCTCCCTTATCTGAGTGAAGCGCAGGTCCATTATCTCCAACCTTTTGAGATCTCCAATAGAATCAGGTAACTCTCTTATCTTAGTGTGACGCATACTTAAGTGCCGCAGTCTTTTAAGATATCCAATGGAAGCAGGCAGTGCTATAACATCAGCACACTGCAAGTCTAAGTTGAGCAATGATTCTAGTCCTCCTATGGAATTTGGTAGCTCCCTCATCCGAGTGAGTCCCAGGTTCATTGTCTCCAACCTTTTGAGATCTCCAATAGAATTAGGTAACTTTCCGATTCTTGTGTTGAACAAATTCAATTCGAGCAATGATCTCAATTTCCCAATGGAGTCTGGAAGCTTTCTAAGCCGATAACAATGATTTAAAGACATGAACATCAAGCCCGCCATCCCTCCAATAGATGGATGAAGCTCTCGCATACACTGCCCCTCTAGCTTTAGACTTGACAGGTTCTTTAGACGGCATATTGTAGAAGGTATTGTGCACAGGTCAAAATGGGGGCTTCCAGACAACATTGATGGCTGAACTCTAGCTCCAATTATTTCCAAGCGCTTTAGGCGCTCTAGCTTACCGATAGAGCTACCGATTTGTGTCGACTCTGGACAATGTTCAGCAAAAACCAATATCCTCAAATTCAAGCACGTTGAGAAGTCGGGAGTTGTCGATAGATGGCATCTCATGAGATGTAGAACTTTCAAGTCATGATTTGCCTGTGAATCAAATTAGAATTAGAAAAGTAAGGCAAGGGAAATGGCAACAAACGTATACATGGGATGTGAAACCATACCAAGCATGGGCCCCATCCATTCCAGTTCTCGGGAATTTCGCTGTTTGAAAGCTTGAGCACGACTAATTTCCCTAAGCATAGATTGACCGCTTGCAAGTCTGAAGGGCAATGATGCCAAGAGAGCCATTTTAAACTCGAGAGAAGATATTTAAAGTCTCCTGTCAAGTTCCCTCCCTCTAATTCCAACAACCTTAAGTTAGGCAGCCGTGAAAACTCTTCACTTGTAAAGTTGTGCTCCTGTGGAAGTCCAGTTAGTTTGAGTGCTGTGATGTTATCTGTTCCCTGACAACATGAAAAGGCATAAGTGAACTTTCTACGGTGAAGAAACAGAGCAAAGCATTCCGTGATTAAATATTGCATAGACCTATTCTATAAGTAAACCATTCTCTTTTCTTCCACTTTGGGGTTGTAAATGTAAGCAATTAATATATATTGCTAGATATTGTTAAAATAAGTGATCCCTTTTCAAGAAGCATCTAGACCTCTGCTTCCCTGCAAAGGCAACAAAATTTTTTGGATATAAGTCCACTTGTGCTTGTGCCTAGAAAAATCTTAAAAGAAAAAATAATATATCTAAGCACAACTCGGCAGAGATTTTCCCTGTCAAAGTCGGTGGAATTGCTCCATAAGTAGAGCTTAGAATCATTCATGTAATTGTGTGAGGAGCAGTATAACTACTTTGTTGAAATAATGAAACTATTGTTTTTTTCTTATCCTATTGGCTATATCCTTGGAGTTCTCTTACCTTGTTCTCTTTTCATCCTCTTCCAAATACATCCCGCACACATACACACTTGCACATTAAACCACAAACTAAATAGTGATATCAAAATCATGCTTTCGCAATCCGACATTGGTATCGGACCAAAAACCAACGAGTAGTATAGGAACAAAAACCAACAGATATGAGTTATGAAATTACTTTTATTTCACTCAAAATTGACAAATTTAGTTTTATGCGATGCACAACACAGACAAAAGAACACATCCAGGAATATACTCTAAGCTTTGAGCTGATGTTTCCATGATCAGAAAGATAGTAGCTGTGAATAAAATGTACCTTTCTATGCTGCACTATGTTCAACGCATCCTTGGGAGACCATAGTCTACTGCGCTTCTCAAGAAATTTGTCTTCTTGTCGAACAATGTCTCTTCCAAGGTCTCTAAGCAGGTCATGCATCGACAATATGACATTACCTCTAATCAAAGACATACGAGAAAGGACGGGGATCTCAATTTTGGGGAAAAAATCCAATGCTTTCCACATATAATGTGGATGGATTTTTTCTTCACCGATAAAGTAACACGCAATATCAAGAAAAATTTCTTTCTGTGCATCCTCTAGCATATCAAAGCTAATCCTTAATTTGTGGCATACATCTTGATTGGGAACTAAATCTAATTTCTTCAACGTGACATTCCAAATTGGCTTACTTTTGCCACAAAGAGAGGATCCAATCACCTCGAGAGCCAAAGGAAGTCCACCGGTTTTCTGAATAATATCACGAGAAATATGTTCATAATCATGTGGAGGAGAATCCATTCTGAAAGCATGGTTACTAAAAAGCCAAAGAGAATGCCAATAGGACAATTCTCTCATTTGATAGATTGTAAACTCTTTGAAATGCGTCCAGACATTATTTTCTCGGTTCTCCTCATCATTCGGCAAAAAGTTGGTGTCCCTCGTCGTAATAATAATTCTGCTCCCTAGACCAAACCAATCACGCTTTTCTACAAGTCTTGAGAATTGTTCACGCTTATCTAGATCATCAAGAACGATGAGGACTTTCTTATTGCGGAATCTCCTTTCAATTTGATAAATCCCTGCATCACAGTCGGAAATCTCCACTTGTTTGATATTGAGAATTTCAGACAATAATTGTTTTTGCAATTGAATGACATTGCCGCCCTTTGAAGCTTCTCGAACATTCAAAAGAAAGCTGCACCCATGAAATCGACTGGAAATTTGGTTAAAGACAACTTTGGCAAGAGTCGTCTTACCGATGCCCCCCATTCCGTGGATTACCAGATAACGTACATCAGGTGAACCTTCATCTATTAGGCGCATGACATCTTTAACACGATCCTCAATTCCGACTAAATGATCCGGCAGGTTTTTGTCTCTTTTATTCAGCTTGATCGAAACTTCAGCAACGATTATTTTAATGAGTTCGCCGTGACTGTCATATTTGATAAAAGGGTCTAGTAAGAAACATCCGAATAGAATATTAAACAATCGAGCTCCGAAATATTATGAATTAAAGATAAACCAACCATAGAGGAGGAGTGGGGAGGAAGCGGGGGCGACCTTCCCCCTCCCAAAAAATTTTGTATATATACTCTGTGAATATATAGGAAAAAATCAACTATAAGTGAATTGCGCCCCTCCTCCTCAAAAAAGTATATTAATTTATATTATATACAAGGTAATCTCACATATACTTTCAATCCATACTCCTTTTTTCAGAAAAATCAACCAAAATCCAGTCAATTTTCTTAAAACGAATTGCAATTGTGTATACTATGGTCAAAGATGTAAATTGGTAAGACAAGAATGAAATCTTAAACTTTGTAAAAGATGCTCCCTCATCCATAAATTGTTAAAAATCGAAACCTTTGGATTTTCTTCCTCTAAATATATGCAAAGGATTTGTTTATTCATTTTTTATTGCTTATACATAGTGTGTGCTCGGTTTACTAGTTTTGCATGGACTAATTGTTTTATAAAATCCACATAACATTGATTTAGAAGTTAAGAAAAAGGTATTTTTATTCAATCTAAAAGATGGATTTTGAATAATGAATTCAAATTGGATTTGTCATGTCTAAATAGAGAACTCATCTAGTTTTGAAAGGAATTGATTTAATTGAGTGAATGTGTAGCGAGTAGTTATAAAATACGTGGAGATTGAGTGACAATTTGATGAAAAAGAGAACAACGGTAGTTGTAACTTTTAATGCAAGGATGATAATATTTCTTATTATTTATAGTTATATCAATTGAATATCTAATCAAAGAAAAAAATAAAAGCCCAAACCTTACCCGGTATCTCTGAGATCCCATCCACTCATACCAGCGACCTTCTCCAGAGCCTCCTTCCATCGCTGCACGACCTCGCAGCCGTACTTCTCCTCGTGCTTCTGCAGTGCATCCTGGTACAGCTTAGTTTTAAGCTTGACATCTCTGGGTTCCACGTCAAAGAAGACCGGCAGAATCATCGCTTTGTGATAAACCATGTATGCAAGCTCGCGAAGACACCACGCACTTGCCGCGTAGTTTCTAGAGAAGATAGGAACACAGATTGAGGAGCTCTCGATCGCACGCTTCAGTTCGCCTCTGATCTCTTCGCCTTTTCTGATCTCTTCGTCGTCTCTGAAAACGCGAATGCCAGCTCCATCCATGGCGTGATAGAGGCAGTCGGCAAAATTCCGGCGAGTGTCCGGCCCTCTAAAACTCAAGAACACCTCGTATTCAGCCCCCAGCGACGACTCGACATCGCCTCTACGGGTGGACACCGCTGGTCCATCCGAATATTTTCTCTCTGCCATCTTCGGGAGCTAGAGTGTAGTGATCGAGTTGAATAATGAGAAGAGAGATGTAAGAGAGTAGTGTCCAATGCATGCAATTCTGGAGTATTTATGGACGAGACAAAGAATCGTGGGAAGGGCTGAGGAAATTTCCTGCAGTAAAATATTATTTTATAAACCATTCTGATCAATTGATTCCACCTCACGATCCAATTTACTGAACTCAAAACTTTCGCCCAGGCCACAACAGGACAAGTTCAAATCTGATTTCGTAAACTCGTCTCATTTATTATTCGCACCGGGAACAATAAGTAGAAGACTTATTTGAGCTCGAAGTTTGTAAATTGACTCTAAATACGACTGAACTGCTATTTTAAAGGCAATATGTAATGGATTCTCCAATCAATTTCATTTTTTGTTAAACACCAGAATTTCATTCAAGTGATTTTCAACACCATCAAACATAAGAAAATGACTCATCTTTCATGAAAACAATTCCACTAATTTCCATCAAACAAACAGACCCAAAAATATATCAATTGATATCACGTCAAGCTCTAATTAACAATACCGACCCATTGGCCTTTGCAACTTCACGTACAAGATCATTTCAAATTCAAAGGTGCAGGCTAACCGGTTTAGAACGTGGCTGCCTCAATTGATTGAAGTGGAACAGAGTGCCTTTGTTAGTGGAAGGTAAATTCAGGATAATATCCTGATAGTTCAAGAGGCACTGAACCAACTACGAATCAGCAAAAGGAAGAAAAAATTCCAAGCAGTGCTGAAATTAGATATGCAAAAAGCCTACGACAGGATTGAGCAGAACTTCCTGGAAGCTTGTATGCTAAAAATGGGTTTCTGTAGAAAATAGGTCTCATGGATCATGCAATGTGTCACTACTATCTTATTTAGTGTGAAGTTCAATGGGGAGCCTTTGCCTTCTTTCAACCCGACACATGGAATCCGACAAGGTGACCCTCTCTCACCTTATCTTTTTATACTTGTGGCTAATGTCCTCTCCTTACTATAAAAAGCAGTTGAAGATGGTAGAGTAAAAGGACTAAACCTAAATTGACATTGCCCAAGTCTCTCCCACTTGTTGTTTGCGGACGATTCTATCTTTCTCCCGAAAGGGAAAGCTATAGAATGCCAAAACCTGGCTAACATTCTCAATCAATACTGTTTTGCCACGGGCCAGGCAATCAATTTAAACAAGTCAACTGTTTTCTTTAGCTCGGGCTGCCCCTAGAATCTTCGTAGGAATATGGCACAGGAATTGAGAGTCCTAGAAATAGACAAAATAGGGAAATACTTGGGTATCCCTTCGGATTAGGGCGTATCAATGAAACAAATGTTCGCTTGGATACTGGCCAGGGTAATTATGAAACTTGAAGGGTGGAAGGAAAAGATGATGTCAAAGGCTAGAATGGAGATCCTATTGAAAACGGTTGTCAAGGCACTCCCGCAATATGCCATGTCAATCTTCAAGATACCACTTTCCCTTTGTAGAGCCATTGAACAAAAGATTGCCTCATTCTGGTGGATAAACAATGATTCCAAGGCTGGTATACACTGGAAGTGCTAGGAGGTAATGAAAAAGAGGAAGGACCGTGGAGGTATGCGTTTTTGTGACCTAATTACATTTAATAGGGCAATGCTGAGCAAATGCTGACCTAATTACCTTCGACGCTTTGGTGCCAAATACCGAAAGGGCTCTACTTCCCCAACACTGATTTTTGTCATGTGAGGAAAGGACAAAGATCGTCCCGAGGGTGGCACAACTTGCTGATTGGAAGAGATGCATTAGCTGGCTCAGTTCAATGGTCCGTAAAGAATGGAAAATCGATTAGAATTCGTGAAGACAAGTGGACAAGATTGGGCACAATCGCAAGTCCATCAAACCAAGATGATCCCCAATTAGTGTCTGAACTGATTGATAGAGACCTGGCGATATGGAATGAACAAAGCCTTATAGCTTGTTTGAAGACAATATTGTGGAGGAAATCTTGGCCATCCCCATCCCATCTATAGAAGAGAAAGAAAGACTAGCATGGACAGCAGCCAAATCAGGGAATTACTAAGTTAAAAGCGGGTACAATCATCTCACAAAGGAAGCAGACAGCCCAGCCAATCAACAAGCCTCGTCCTCGCACCAAATACCACGAGGCCTACGCTCTAAAGGGTGGAACATGAACACCCTACCCAAAATCAAACTATGCCTCTGGCAACTTTGCCAAAATGCCTTGCCTACAAAGGAAAACTTGTTCAAGCGAAGAAACTTACCTGACCCACTGTGCCCAGTGTGTAAGACGCCCCCCCAAACACCAGAACACCTCTTTCTCCTTCGTCCCTGGACAACCAAAGTTTGGTCAGACCACAATATACAAATCCGAATTGAAGATCAAGGCCTCGCAAGCATAGATCAGTGGCTATTAAGCTACAAGAGCGGATTACCAGCCTTGCCGTCTCTCGAGCTCGTTTCCGAAGTACTCTGGTTCCGGTGGAAGGCGAGAAAAAGTGCGATTTTTAGAGGCAAATCACCAGACCCGCAAGCGACAGATAATGAAGCGATATCCTTGCACGAAGATATCAAAACTTGCCGCGCGAATCGAAAGAAAAAAACAAGAACGAGAAGGGATCTCACCTGCGATCTGGACGCCGCCGGAGAAAGGAGCTCTTAAGCTTAATGCGGACGCGGCCTTCGTTGCTGGCTCTATGTCGTGTGCGGTCACCGGTGTGTGCCGAGACGCCTCAGGGAAGCTCACGGGAGGATTCGCTTGCCTGGTTCGGGCTCAATCGCCTCTCCTCCACGCGGAAGCCCTTGCATCGCTTGAAGGCCAGCGCTGTATTGCTTGAAGGATGAAAGAATAGAGGAGAGAGAACACGGGGAGATGAGCCTTCGTGGAAGTGGAGCCTGACAATTCAGTCAGTCACGCGTGAAGACCCACCTGTTGAACTAAATAAAATTGATTCCACTTCACTGCTAATTTATTAAACTAAATAACTTTTCCACGCTCCAAATAAATTCAAGCTGACGCATTTGATCGGGTATAGCAAGACTGATGATTGTGTTCTTTTCTTGAATCAAGGGATGGCACTTCCATTCCCACATTGTTCAATTCAATGAGCGAGGACTCCATCTATCGATATAAGAATTATCGCAGTATCTGTGAATGCATGATTTCACAAAGGTCCGATGCGTTTAATGATTTTTTCATATTTAAGATGAAGAAAACATTTCATTCATCTAAACTTGATTAAGTAAAATATGTTATACATAGGTTACATTTCGAATAAGATTTTAAAGGAAAAAAAATACCATATATCTCCATTTCAAGATATTACTTTCTAAGATAAAATTTTCTCAATGAATAAAAAGTTAAAATCGAACACTCCGTAACGAATAAAAGATTCCTATGGCTAGGTCCATATGGGTAGCTTAAAAAATTCCTTTTTTTATCTCTTTTCAAAGTAATATCCTTCTAGCCGACGACAATCCATTTCCCTCTAACTAAAAATTACGCCCTATTAACTTGTAAAGATTATTTGCTAAATTATCCAAATATATTCCCTAATTGAATATTATGGTAGTCTATTATGTAATTGATTTTTTATTCTAAAGTGTCAGCTAAATAATAAAGATTCTCCAAATACAATATACGAGCAATAGGAGCCCTTGTTTGTTTTATAGCAATTCCCTTGTTTGTTTTATATTAGTGTGATTTACCGAAAGAAGAGGAGTAACTCTCCACGTGCACTTTGTGTTATCGGTTCTATAGCAATTCCCTTGTTTGTTTTGTTGTTACTCTACTAGATAACAATAAAAAACACAAATAAATTTATCTAATTAAAAATATTCTATCAACTAATCTAATCGATACCCACCAAAAAGAAAATATGTAACATCAATGGATTCCATGGTGTACGTGAATGATCTTTTCAAATTTAAGATAAAGAAAGCATTTCATTGATGTATAACATTCTATTTAACTAAGTGAAATATGTCATATACGGGTTCTTATTCAAGAGAAAAAGTACTTTTTTTCAAGATAAAGATTTCACAGATAAAGATATATTGTTGGACAAAGAATTCGGACCAAATATTCTGTAATGGGTGTGAGACTCTTACGGTAACTCTCAAAGAGAGTAGCAAAAAATATATTTTTTTCTTTTTTCGAAGTATTATCTTTCTCGTAAATGACAATAACATTTCCCTCTAAATAAGAATTACACGCTATTAACTTGCATGAGATCATTTTCCAAGTATTTTTTATTCTAAATTGTCAACTAAATAACAAAGGTTCTCAAAATACATTATATGTGCTATTGGAGCCCTAAGCTTTTTTTATTGTTTGTTGATTGAGCCTTAAACATTCTATTTAGTAAATTGACTCCTAAGCCTTTTTGGAAAATGTGTAATTGAGTCCCAATCTCCCTGCTTGGGACATTTACTCATCGCAAAATATCATGTCCTTTTAGGTTTTCACAAAACTAAACATTATTTTACAATAATCAAGGAATAAAACACATAAGTTTCGTTGAAAATTGACCGAGAAACTCGATTATGAGATTTATTGAAAGTAGAATCAAAGTTTCTTCCATAACTTTATGTGACTCAAGAAAAAATCAAAATAATATTCTTAGAGTTTTTCCTATCTGTTTAGATTTTCTATAATCAAGTTATCTATTCAATGATCACTGATCAATAACATTCCTATGCTTTATTTCTGATTGTGGTTAAAATGATGCTTCATCTCATAACAATCTAAAAGAGTATAGCTGCCCTTTTACTAAAGGTCAAAGGCAATGATGTTAATTGCATCTTTGTCAAATTACTAAGGACTCAATCGACTGAAAATAAAAGATCTAGGATATGATTAATCAACCATCAAAACATTAGTACTTTTGCAACTAGTGTGATTAACTAAAATAAGAAGAGTAACTCTCCACAACACTCTGTGTAATCTGTTATATTAAAATTCCCTTGTTTGTTTTTTTTTCTCTATTAGATAAAGTTACAAAAAATACATAAATTAAGCTAACGAAACTATAGTTTAGATTTCAATTTCACTATAGCAGAAAATTCGATTTAGGTATTAATGACATAAGTCTTAGTCTAGTGTCATGCACTTGTCATTATTTTTGTTAAAATATCCTACATTGCTACTAGGTTTTATATTCTCTTTATATACATGTGGTCTTCCTATACCATTCGGCTTAAGTTTTTAGATTGAACTTTTCTAGCATGGTATAAAAGCTAGATTCTGTCTCAATTTTACTTGACTGATATGTTTTTCAAAAAGAGAAAAAACAATAGACAATGCATCGATTTTTAGTTAGTCACGCAGTGTTTTTTTCCTTTTCAGAGTCAGGTAAAGTTGAACGGGTTGAAATATTCGTACGTGGAATAGGCATGTTCAAACCATCAGTCATTCACTTTTGACACAATTCCAAGCAAATAACAATTTATCAAGTATACCGACGGGGTTTAATAGTAAGAAGAGAGATGTAAGAGTAGTGTCTAATAGACATAATTTTGGAGAATTTATAGACGAACCAGAGAGTCAAAGGAAGTCTCATTGTGCATTGCATTTTTTCATGGAAGGGCCCGAGAAATTGGCCACAAATAAAAAATTATTCTATCAACAATTCTAATTGATTACCCTCCAAAAAGAAAAATATGCAATTGCATTGCACTTCCCATTCTAAGTCATGGAAAGTCCCCTTCGTTGCGTTGCGCTTTTTCTTGGAAGAGCCCGAGAAATTAAAAATTATTTTATTGCTCCAAAAAAGAAAATATATAATTTTAATTGATGTCAAGTCACGTTCTAATTAATTAATGAACATTGCGACTAAAGAAATAATAACCCTTTAATTGATGTTGTCTGGGCCAGATTCGTGGAAATTGGGGTAGTTGACTACCAGGTCCCATTTTCCTCTTTCCTTGAGAGAGAATTATGGAAATGGTGGGGACGTCATCGTAAGCATAGACATATAATACGCATTTAGAAAGAATAAGGACTCTGAATGATGTGGATTTCTTGAAAATAACTTACAACAAGCTCCCAATCACATAAAAATGGCGGTTGGCCGGTGCAGTAAACAAAAATGGAAGGTGGAAGGTGCGCATCAAACTTGGGACTCAGTCTTAAACTTCAACTTCAACCTCACTCTGCACTCATTGGGTGTTGTATAACCTAACAACAGCGCAACTCGTTTTGAAAGGTTTTTTAGTTGGTAACATTTTGGTTGGGCTGTCGCGATGACCCCACCAACCTTGAATCATCAGTTTGCTAGTTGTGGGGAGTAGTTGTGACTCGAACTAAATATTCCATAATAATTGTAAAGCTCTTATGATATCAGCCAACATGGATCGCTAGTGCTTGTCGCTTCTCGCCACTCTTTTTCTGAAAGAAAAGGATTGGGTGCAAAATAGATTTAATTTGTCTTTTATGGAATCATAATGCATCATTTCGGTCCTCAGCTATTCTTTCACTATGTGATTATCCGAAATTTATGTATTTTTGAAGCACGACATCTACTGCGTCCTGTCTAATAACCGTGTGCATAGCATTGGTAATTTCCCCATTTCTCTCTTTTTAGCAATAACACTTAAAAAATGGAAAAGAGTACCTAAAACTCTATCCAATTTCATAGTGTTGTGTATGATCTAATTGTTAGAATAATTAAATATTAAATAACGCTTTCATCTAAGAACTTAAGCTTTTAGAATACTTGATAATGGTCCCATAAAATCTCACACTAATAACGAGAGCACATACCATGCAACAAAAAAATTTGGAAATGGGGGGACATTCATCATAGGCATTGACATATAATTCGCATTAAGAGAAAATAAAGAGTCTGTGCAAAGGTGTATTCCTTGTAAACAAACTTACGACAAGGACCCAATCATTAGAGACAAATACAAAATAAAAAAAAATTAATCTCAATTGGATAAGTTCAAGGGACGGCACTTCCATTCACATGTTCCATTCGATGACTAGATAATAAATTGCCTGTGATGTAGAAGAATGTATAATTCCACGATCGATGTGTGTAATCCATCTTTTCAAATTTAAGATAAAGAAAGCATTTCATTCATTTATTACATTCTATTTAATTTAAGGAACTTATGTTATATATAGGACAGTTCGAACAAAACTTTAAGGGATAAATACAAAATACATTTTTTTCAAAATTTTCTCATTAGACAAAGAGCTCAAACAGAACATTCATAACGGGTGTGGAACTTTTATGATAATGCTCAGAGAAGGTAATTAAAAAGTTCCTTTTTTTTCTCTTTTCAAAGCATTATTTTTCTCGCCCATGACAATCCATTTCCATCTCAATAAAAATCACATGCTATTAACTTGCATAAGATTATTTGCTAAATTATCCAAATATAATCCCAAATAGAATGAGATGTTTGTCTATTATGTAACTGAGAACTTAAATTTTTTTTTATTTTAAAGTGTCAAAAAAACGATAAAGGTTCTTGAAATATGTATTATAGGAGCTCTAACCATTTCGGTTGTTTGTTGATTGAGTCTTAGACATTCTATTTAGTCAAGTGATTCCTGAGTCTTTTTGGAAAATGTGCAATTGAGTCCTAATCTCCCACATTTACTCATTCGC